AAGCAAGTTTATTTCATTGGGGTCTATCCGAACTGGGCTCTCTGCCTAAATTGAACAGAACTGTCAAATGTGATTAGTGCCATTGAAAGTAACAATGCAAATTAGCATTTTATTATACATTCAATCTCTAGCAGAGAAAGCGTGAACATGAGCCAGCAGCAGTCTGCAGGAAGAAACCAAGAGAGACTATACGTAAGATTCAGAAGAAGGAAAGAAGTAACTTACTCATACCTGGTTTTAACAGACAGGAAAGGAAAAGCAGGTAAGCAAGGGATATAATAATGGATAAAGGAAACCAGAAGATAGGAGTAGGGACAGCAAAAGGACTATGCCCAATCCAGCTAGGAAATTGGATGAAGTCAAGAAAATATTCAGATGTTTGTAAACTAACATGAGGGGCCTTGGCACCAAAATGGAGGAACTAGAACCACAAATGCAGGTTGTGAAACCCAATATTAGAGGGATAACAGAAATATGGCAGAATAGCAGTCATGACTGGAATACAGGTACTAATGGGTACATACTGTTCAGGAGAGAAAGAAGTAAAGATACTGGGATAGCATTGTAAAGAAACGAGAAGAGATAACAAATAAAACAGAATTCATTTGGGCCAAAATCACTTTGGGGAAGGATTGTAAAAGAGGTTATAAATAAAATATAAATAAATTAAAACTGGAAGGGACCTTGAAAGGTCATCAAGTCCAGCCCCCTGCCTTCACTAGCAGGACCAAGTACTGATTTTGCCTCAGATCCCTAAGTGGCCCTCTCAAGGATTGATCTTATAACCCTAGGTTTAATAGGCCAATGCTCAAACCACTGAGCTATCGCTCCCCTCTAATTATGCTAGTGTTAGGGATTTGATATAGACCTCCAGGGTCGGCTTTCGACATGGATAGAAGTCTCTTAATATTATTACAGAGAGAACTACTGCAAATTGTCATTATGGGAGACTTTCTTCTCCAATCTATAGCTTGGAAGTTAATCTCTACTAATAATGATAGGACCCAGTGAGGCACTAGACGACAGCTTTCTTCACCAAATAATCACTGAACGACGAGAGATGATGCTACAGGAGACTTGGTTTGAGTAAACAGTGATGAGACTCTAGAAGAAAGCCTTGGATTGAGTGATCATGAGGTAATCCAGTTAAATGGAAAGAAACTCAAAAACAGGTTAGAAACAGGTATTCAATTTCAAAATGGCAGACTTTGGGAAACTAAGGGAACTAGTTAGTGAAGTCAAAAGAATGGAAGAGCTCAGGGACTTAAATTTATAGGACGTTTGGAATTTCTTTAAGTCAGAGGAGCAAAAATTTATCTGGAGGTTGCATCCCAAATAAGGTGGAAAAACTTACAGGGAAAGGCTCCATCTCTAACTTGCTGAATAACCACCTCAAAAAGGACATTAGGAGTAAAAAGAGAGTATACAAGGAACAGAAAAAGGGATACATCAGCCAAGAAAGCTACTACTTGGAAGTCAAAAAGTATAGACATAAAGTGAGAATTACCAAAAGTCAAGTTCAGTTTTGCTCAAACACAGTGCTTCAGATGCACAATCAGTACTCAATAAATTATTATTATAGTTAGGTCCACCATTTTGTCAAACTCTGATTAGGGAAATGAAGTAAAAAATGAGCAGACCTGTTATTCTAACCAGTAGATGGCACAGTAATACTCATACACAACAGCAAATCTTTCAAATGATACAGCAAGGACATAAACAAAGGACAACAAACAGCGTGACTGAAAACAAATGTTGCAATACATAACTGTAAATCTAATGCAGATGTACCTTATCACTGAGGCTGCATGTGGGTCATGGAAGTCATGGATTCTGTGATTTTCTGTGACTTCTGCAGCAGCTGGTGTGGGCTGGCTCAGCAGTTTGGGTATGGGAGGGGGCTCAGGGTTGGGGCAGGGGATTGGAGTATTGGGTAGTGCTTACCGGGAGGGGGGCTCTTACCGGCATGTCCCTGTGGCTCTTAGGCAGAGGGGCCAGGGGCCTCCGCACACTGCCTGCAACCGCCACCCTCCCCCCTTCCCCCCAGCTCCCATTGGCTGCAGTTCCCGGCCAATGGGAGCTATGGAGCTGGTGCTTGTGGCGGGAGCAGCGTGTGGAGCCACCCCTACCCCTAGGAGCTGCAGGGATATGCAGGTTGGAGCCAGGTAGGGAGCCTGCCAGCCCCACCAACCATCCGCCCTCCTCCCCCCAGGACCAGCAGGGGTCCCAGGGCTGTGCGCCGCCACTGTCTCCCCCCCCCAGCACCAGCAGGGTCCCAGGCCGTGCACCCCTGCCACTGGGACCTCCCCCTCCTCCCCCCCCCCCCCGCCAGAGCACCCCTGGGCCAAGTTTTAGTTAGGGGTATATAGTAAAAGTCATGGACAGGTCACAGGCTGTGAATTTTTGTTTACTGCCCGTGACCTGTCCATGATTTTTACTAAAAATACCCCTGACTAAAACTTAGCCTTACTTATCACTAACAGAATTATCTCTGGGTCAGAGGGAAACATAGGAATCTGCCTAACAGGTGGCATATTGTTTCCACAATGTAAAAGCTGTGGAGACCTAAGTGAGGGTGAAGGCCTAATATGATTCTAAACACATAGTTCTTTTCTTAAAAAGTAACCAAAAATCAGTTTTCTATTAATACCTCTCCCAGCCCACTTAATATGAAAATAAACCAAATTACATAACTCAAATATCTATTCATGAACTGATGTATTTCTGTAATAGGTTCTCCTTTCCTCACACCACAAAATATTCAGTGTGTATAACAGCACATAACACTCCCCATCACATTTAACAATTATCTGGTAACAGTCTAACATAGTGTAAATAAGCAATCTTATTGTTAGTTTGGCCTTTCACCTATTGCAAAGGCTGTTTTACCTTCAAGTAAACACAATCTTGGTCTTCCATTTTACCCTGTCTCTTATTGCTCCCCAGAAAAGAATCTAATGCTCTTTTGCATTTGCTACAATTCTAAGGAAAGACAACTTTGCTCTGACACCATGCAGCCTAAGTCTCTGGCTTCCTCCTTCTACATTAAGGTTACAGGCAAACAGGAAACACTAAGCCACACATGTATTAAAAGACATATACACACTCTTTCCAAAACTATATCCATCATTCTTTCCTTACCTCCCCGTCCCCTTTAAACGGGGATATTCTAACAGCCTGTCCAATTAAGGCCCGCACTGACAATTTGCCAGGAGATTGAGTGCTGCACCTAATCTGTATGCAACTAAACAGACTGAAGATACCATTGTGTTTAATGACAGGTTTCAGAGTAGCAGCCGTGTTAGTCTGTATCCGCAAAAAGAAGTACAGGAGTACTTGTGGCACCTTAGAGACTAACAAATTTATTAGAGCATAAGCTTTCGTGGACTACAAGAAGTGGGCTGTAGTCCACGAAAGCTTATGCTCTAATAAATTTGTTAGTCTCTAAGGTGCCACAAGTACTCCTGTTCTTCTTATTGTGTTTAATATTAGGTGCATCTCACTGATACTAAGATCCTAACACCACAGGCAAAGAGAATGCCTGATTCAGCAGAAATGCCTCATGTTTTGAGCCCAAGTGTTAAAAAAAATTATGAGTTAGACCCCAAAGTATCATAACTGGCTTAAAAATTGAGGGTTTTTTAAATAATAATTTTTGGGTTCTCTTTATTTGCCTTTTAGTTTTCAAGACTTTAAGGTACATATGCTTCACATTTTCAAGCTTTTCTCCATAACTATGAGGACAATAAACTATTTAAAAAAATTAAAGCTAACATCTTGATTCTCATAGTACAATCTTTAAGAAAAGCACCACATTGTGTGAGACTCTCAGTTAAACCAGAAGAGGTGCCAACCATTGTCTTAGTGCAAAGGCTGATTGTATTGAAACTGGATCTTAACCTGTTTGCAACATAAAACTGGGACAGATGATTTTCTCTTCTGTCCCTGAGCCTGGTACCATACAGCAGTGCCTACTCTAGCTGCATCCTAGAAGCTGCGTTCCCCAATCCTATGTACCGGTACATCTCAGCTATTTTCAATGGAAGGAGAGGCATCTGCTTCTGCTAACCTGCCAAAGATCTGGGAGAAGCATTTTAAATTTATATACTGTTTAGACTGGCTTACCCCCTGACTTCTGTGCTCTTCAGGAAAGGCAAATGAGGTGAGGTGGAATATGTGCCACTTCTAAGCATATGTGCAATGTGCATTCGCTGGCACGATGGTTGGATCATTAGCTTCCCCAGCCTGGGTTGGGCACAGATGGGGAGCCGGACATGAATGCTGATCCATACCCCCCATATGTGCCACTATCTGTTGTCTCCAGTCACCATACTGCTCATATTGATGTGGCAAATTGTATACTGGGAGCCTGAAGTCTCTTAGCCACAGTATATGCACCTAAATAAATAGATATGGGCTGTGGTGCTGTGAGAGAGAGGATGCATTGCATGCTGGGGAACTTGGCTTTCCTGTGGGTTGTGTTATCAGGATCAAGATAGAGCACTGGGGGTTTTGCTGCATCTCTGGAATGGAGCTAACACCTAATGTTGTTGCAGGATGTGTCACTGGGACTGATATAGTTAGTACACTGTATATTGGAACTTGCCTTTGCTGCAGGTCATGCGACTGGGACTGAGTCCTCTCCTTAAAATTCACCTCTGCCAGAGAGCCCACAAAACACTTGATTTTAACAGGCTAGTCAGCTGGTGTGCTGTGACCACTGTTTATTACACTTACTGTTATCCTTTAACTGTTACCATGTGCTCCTCCAACCTCCTCCTTGCACCCAGCTTTTGGCTTTCGTTTATGTAGATATTAAGGTCTCTGGGACGTAGGGTGACCAGATGTCCCGATTTTATAGGGACAGTCCTGATATTTGAAGCTTTTTCTTATATAGAAGCCTATTGCCCCCCACCCCCGTCCCGATTTTTCATACTTGCTGTCTGGTCCCCCCTGCTGGGACGGGGCCCACCGTTTAATTGCAGATGCACAGAAGTTACCTCCAGGAGTCCTCACTCCCTGAGGGGTAAGGTAATGAGTAGCTAGCGCACGGTGCTGTGCTCTGGGCAGCCGCTTCAATGCTCCCTTCTCGCTCTGTCTCTCTCATTAGTATTCCCACCTCCAAGGGCCTGGAACCGTCTTCTCTCTCTTTCCCCTCAGCAACAGGGGGTGGGGCTACCCCTCCCCTTCCTTCTCCTACTTCCCCATTAGGGGGTTGGCGGACCCGATGGCCCAGGACCCATCTCCGCTTTTCGGGGATAGGCGAGTCAGGGACGATGGGGGGGGGTAACCTCTTCTTCCCTTCCCCCACTACCGCGCCCCTCTTTCCCCCAGAATTATGTGAGGTCCGAGCCAGAGGGGACACCCCTCCTTCTCTCAGCCTAGAATGACTGGCAGTCCCAAGGAGTCAGTCAGCGTCGCCCCTTCATCTCGGGGCGACCTAGCACCCGCCCACTTCAGGAGGCGGGAGGGAATGTTTACAAATAAAACGGCGGGTAGGCGGGGAAAACGGCAGAAGGGAAGGGGGAGGAGCAAGCGATTAGCGCAACCTGTGAACCAATAGGGCAGCGCGCCACTCGGCGGCTAGGGGGTGGGGACCGAATGTTCAACGCTCTCTGACCAACCGTCGCCCGATGTGAGGGCGCGCGCGCCAATGAGCTCTCAGCTTTCCGCCGTTCCTCTCTGAGGTCTGGAGAAATGAGGGGCGGGGGGACAGTGAGTAGAGTGTCCTCTTCTCAGTCCTCTTCCTCGTATAGCCCCCCCCCATCCCGCCGCTGGGTCCCCACCCCACTGCTGTTGGGTAGGGAGGGGAGCCGGAGCGAGGGGGGAGCTACCGGGACTGGATTTTGGGGAGGCGGAATTTTAATGTTGCTTTTTTTGGGGTTTTTTTGTTTAATGTTATGGTTTTTAACCCGCAAATACGTCTCTGAACAATAAAATCCTGCCAGACACGGTGACCCCACACGCACCCCCCAGGCGGGAGGCAGAGAGAGGGGCGGGGGGTGGCGAGCCTGTGAGAAAATGGAGGGACCCTCCGGCTCCGCAGAGGAAGGGGAGCTGCCCCTCCTCACTGTCAAGCACGAGCTGAAGAACGGTGAGTGACCGCACAGCACCCCGGGGCGGAGAGGGGGTGACGGTCGGGTGGGGGTGCCTTGTAGGTGCCGAGGTGGACGGGGGTGAGCCGTGAATGAGGCCGGTGGAAGCGGAGTGAGGCGAGGGCACGGGTGTCGGGGAACGGTTACGAGGGCAACGCGAGGTGGGATGGGGGTCGTGGCGTGGGGGGGGGGTAGCAGGGCTGGGGATGTTAGCGTGGGACAGGGTGAACTGGGGTAAATGGAGCGGTAGGGGAGGGCCATCGATGGAGAGAAATGGGGACATCGGGCGACAGATGCGATGGGGGAGACGGAGGCTGAGCGGAGAAGGGAGTATGGGGGGCAGAGACACTGAGAAGACAGGTGGAAAGGGGAGCGCGGGGTGGCGGCTCCAAGGGGAGGCCGGAGAGAAGGGGGTCGGAAGATGTTGAGTGAGGAGGGGTCGGTGACTGGAGAGAAGCGCTGACCGTGGACGGTGAGGTGGGAAGAGAAGGGAGATTCGAGGGAGCTGTGGCGCTTGTGAAAGAACTGGGAAAAGAGAAGGCGAAACGGTGTGGTAGGGTGGAGGTGAAACAGGAAAAGGGGCCTTTTAAAAAATATGTGTATATATATTAGTATTGGGTTTTGGTGATCTTTAATTTTCCCTATCGTGTAGTGTCTGAGGGTTTTGAAGGGCATAAATGGCTGGAGAATGCCCGGTGCCTACCATAAATTCACCATATCTTCCCATGTGTGGACTTCAGTTCTAGTTCCTTTATATGTATTTTAAAAGGTGCTTTTTAAGGAGTAATGGTCTAAAACACTGCAGCTTACTATATAGTATTCACCAATTCCCCTTCTGCCCACTCAAAATTCCATGCTTTCTATTTCTAAAGCATCATTAAGTGTCCTCAGTTGTGGCAAGTACAGCTTTCTTTGGTATGCTGTTAGATTCTCTGACTTTTCTGCCTGGGTCTTCAAACCTCCTCATAATTAGATAGCTGTTTGAAAACCCTGTGTGGAAATATTTGCATAAACAAAATATACTGTATAATGTTTCAAAACACAATAGGAATGCTGTTGTAAGTTGTGGTTTTATGGATGATTTTGGTATCTTGTTTTTGAAGCAGTCTTCAAATAACTTGAATGCTACAGGAAGTTTTGGGCTTATTTTAAGTTTACAAAATACACACAAGTACATAGACAAAATGCATGCACAGTATTTTAAAACAATCCATGTCTTGTGACCTATGCCAACCAGAAAAAAAAATAACCCTCTCTCCTTTCCCCTTCAGCCCCAAAATAAAGTAAAATTAGCTGCACCACAAAACAGTAACATGGTATTTCTGTTAAGAAAAAGAGAGAGAGGTCTTACCTACAAGACAGAGTGTTACAGATTCAGTCTTTGGTGGACCACTTGTGAAAGCAAATTCAATAGTCTAAGACACTCTACTGAGAAAGTGCAGACTCCCATCCCCAGACATTCAGATCTAGGGACTGTGTACAAAAGCTCCCCGGTTGACCTTAAATGTCACTGCAGCACAGAGAGAGAAGCAGTCTTTTTGACAGCTAGATCCATACCACCTTATATAGGGATTGCAGTTCTGCTCTCTTTCTATTTTTTTTTTTTTAGAGTGAGTGTAGATAGGGTGGTGTGTGAGGTCGTGTGATAGGTGTAAACATAATACAACTTTATTTTCTAGTTTTCAGACTGCATTACAACACTAAAAAATAAGACTGTATCTGACCAACCCAGTTGTACAAAGATGGTATAGGGAATAAAGAAATGTTTTGAATTGTGAGAGTGTGGTTTCTTTAGCATCGCTCTTGATTTTGATCAACTCTTACTTTAAACTCTTTCTAGTTCTGAAAAGTCCATATATTTATTTTTAACAGAAGGCTTTTATATAAACTCCTTTTTAGTGTTTTCAGTATAATGGAATTCAGTTGTGTGCTGCTTTTTCCGTGTGTGTGTGTATGTGTGTATGTATATATATATATATATACACATACACACACACACACGAGTTTTACTCCCTACCAAGTATCCAGGGTTTTACTTTCTTTCAAATGCTCTCTGGAAGGGGTTCAGGCTACTTTTGGAAATATTTGGAGTGCATGGCTGGGGGAGGAACTACATCATATCTTCCTGGAATTAAATGTCAACAATGTAATCACTATTCAGGGCACAGATTCAAAGACCCTATCTCTGAATTTACAATCTAGATGATGCATGGAAAAATGAGACACGTTGGAAGAGCTAAAGAAGGGAATTGCACTAATTTTTCTGTTTAAAAAAAATGTTAATCCCTTGATCTTACTACATCCTTCCTTCTTGTGTGTGGCTTTCTTGGGTGTCTTTGTTCCCTGCCACCCCTCCCAGTTCTTTTTTTGAGTTTGCTGTCTGTGTGGTTCACTGAATGACTTGCTAACTATACTCTGAAAGTAGCTACCAGTAAGCAGAGGAAAATGATAGGCAGTCTCAACAGCATTTAAAAAAGAATCATAGTATGATGATTAAAATAGGAGTTGCCTTGAGAAGGGAGTGACTTCTTATTTACACATTTTGGAAGATGCTGCTTGGGTGTTTTGGTAATTGTGTTTCTGTTGTCAAAAGCACTATACCACATTCAGTGGACAGAGTGTTGGATTTAAATTGAGCAATATACTGGCGGACACATGCTCATTCTTGAGTTTATTTTCTCTGTTATCATAAGAACCTCAGATGGGATTGCTCTAAAAAATATACACTGATTACAGTATATGCTTGTTTACCTAATTGCCAGATAAGAAAATGGTTAGATTGGTGTTCAGGTTGAGGGTACATATCAGTAATTTAGGGTGAAGTACATTATGGGGGCTGTTATAGTTATTCCCCTAAAAATAAATTAAGGAAATGTACTATTAGGGCATATAAACAATGTTAAATCTACCTTGCAGTAACCCTTTACAATGATCATATGATTATTAACTATACCTTAACATGTTTACATTTCTTTCAAGTTTAACCTTAACTCTGAATTTATAATGCTTGTTTATGGGATAATTGCAAGGACCTTAAAAGAATGGCTCTGGTGTCGGAATCTCCCTCACATCGGCTGCAGTGAAGACTAATGCAAATAATCCATATTGCTTCTCCTCAGTGGAGATTTTGTCTTTATCTTTATCTTCCTTGAGTGTTCCTTTAGCACCTCAGTTATCCAGCGGTCCCACTTATTATGTGGCAGGCTTCCTGCTTCTGATGTCCTTAACATTATTTTTGCTGTTAGTTTTTGAGTCTTTTGCTAGTTGCTCTTCAAATTCTTTTTTGGCCTGGCTAATTATACTTTTACACTTGACTTGCCAAAGTTTATGCTCCTTTCTATATTCCTCAGTAGGATATGACTTCCAGTTTTTAAAGGATGTCTTTTTGCCTGTAACCGCCTCTTTACGTTATTGTTTAGCCGTGGTGGCACTCTTTTGGTCCTATTACTGTGTTTTTTAATTTGGGGTGTACAATCAATTTGAGCCTCTCTTACAGTGTTTTTAAAGAGCTTCCAGGCTGCTTTCAGGCATTTCACTTTTGTGACTGTATCTTTTAATTTTTGTTTAACTAGCTTCCTCACTTTTGTGTAGTTCCCCTTTTTGGAGTTTAATGCTACTGTGGTGGGCTTCTTTGGTGTCCCCCTCCACAGGATGTTAAATTTAATAATATTATTGTGGCTATTACCTAGCAGTTCAGCTATATTCACCTCGTGGAGCAGATCCTGTGCTCCACTTCGGACTAAATCAAGAGTTGCCTCTCCCCTTGTGTATTTCAGGACTGGCTGCTCTAAGAAGCTGTCATTTTAGGGTGTATAGAAACTTTATCTCTGCATCCTGTCCTGAGGTGACGAGTACCCAGTCAATATGGGGATAGTTGAAATCTCCCATTATTACTGAGGTTTGTGTTTTTTAGCCTCTCTAATCTCAGAGCATTTCACAGTCACCATCACCATCCTGGTCAGGTGGTGGGTAGTCTGGCCATAGTCGCTGGTATGCTATGGTAGCTTTGTTCTGCCCTGGAGCAGCGTTAAGCAGTCAGAACATACTAGTTGGTAGGCTAGTTTTACAATTGCTTTGAATCACCAAAACAATCATAGTATACACCTCAGTTTCCCCCTCCATCCTGTGCTCCATGTTCCCCTACACATAAACACATCCCTAAATAGTTCCCTCCCATCTCTTGAATAGGTCTGGCACAGCCGGTAGAGCAGTGGACTGGGATTCTTCAAGGAGTTGTTTTAATCAGTTTTCCTAAATGCTTTGTTTTTTTTTGGCAAATAAATATTGTTGTTTGTTTTTGTTTTTTTGAAGGAGAAGTTGTTTTTGAATCACTTTAAACACCTACTGTCACAAGCTCCTGATGGGAAAAGGTTAGAGGTGCCAAAGCTGGGTGTATCAGGTTAACACGGTTGAGAAATAGGGTACTGCAGCTTAGAGATCTGGTCTAAGAGTGGTTGAACTGCAGGGTTTCACCCAGACAGAGGTGGAGGAAGCCAGGCCTATCATTCTGAGGGATGCACTTGAGAGTGATAAAAGGGGTCTAATGTGCACCTTGCCCTTTAACTGTGCCAATCTTAAATTTAAAAAAAAATCTTCAAATGTAGCCTACTCGGAAGATATTACAAAAGTTCAGTGGTATTGAATTAAAAAAAAAACGTTAACCAGAATGCCTCAATCCCCTCTTAAACCTTTCTTTTCTCCCCCACACCTATATTGGGTCAGACTTCGGGCTAAGGAAAGCTAGATATGGATCCCTTCAGGACCAGTTAGTGTAACTTGAATTGGCTGGAAAAGTTATGAAAGAACTTAGTATTCCCTGCCATCTTTCTGTCATGCTTATAAATACTTGTAATAGAGTTTAGAGTCCCCGACCTCTGAACCTTTAGTGCAGTGCACTGCCTTCTCTTCTAGAGACTATAACAGTTTTAAAGGCGGTCAAACTTTGAGCTTAAACTCAAAAGTTAGTTAGCAGTGTCCCTTTCAACAATGTTTTGTAGTC